TTACTTGTTAACGCACTACTGTGAATCCCTAGCCCTTGTGTCTCCCATCTATCGTCGATATTGACACGACGTTGCAGTAAAACAAGACTCGGACGCACGGTAAGAAAATGTACTAGGTCACTCACGTCCCGGGCGCAAAGACGCCCGGCGCTCGTAGGCCATGCTGACAAGATGGTTCGCCAGCCAGCCCCCGATCTCAGTGGAACCCCGGCCGACAATAAATACCCCCGTAAGATAACAAATCTAAGAGGGTTCTGCAAGCCGTGATCGTTCTTGGTCGTCGTAACGTAACATTAATATAACATGACAGTTGTGCCTCAACTGATGGCCAATTCTAATGCACGTTCGGCTCTAGTTAACACAGAAATCTTTAACAAAGATTATATCCATGCCGTTACAAAGGTTCAGTTGACAGAAATCTTTTCATTTCGTATCACAAATCTCTTTAAATCCTAATAAATGCTGCAAGAGGATTATTTTGTAGCGGGAATGTACCAGCCAGCGGTACGCGAAGTGAAAATGCGGGGTATGTATCGTTAGATGTGCACGGCACGGTTTGCTACAATGCTTGGGCCTTTGAAATCTTTTGCCGCTCGCCGCTCTGTCTGATCAGGACGTGCCGTTGTCTTGGCGACACGGGGGAACCGTCCGAAACGACAAGAAGTTTTCCATGCTGAAAGTTCTTATTCCTTTGATTTTGTGACATAAGCAGTAGTTTACGAGGTTTTTAAAAACCTTTTCGCTCTTTCCCATTCAGAATTGTAAGTCCCAGTAGCCCCTCGTTCTTGTTTTGGTTTGCATCAAATTTTAAATTCGGTCGCACAGACTCACTTCTCCACCTCGATAATCGTTGCTCTCCGATGGGCGGTCAATCGAATCTTTAATAAACTACGCCGAGCTAACTTTTCCGTGTTCCGGTCAGGTGACAGCAGGCAAGGTGGCCCCATTCAATGTGTGTCCGCTGACACCCGGCGCTCCAGAATTTCGTATTATCCTAAAAATTTTGTGAACTCTTGAAAATGGTAAACATGTGCCCGGCGCTCCGTCGCCACGGCCGTTATTTCACATGTCATCACATTAGTGTTATCCGTTAGTGTATTTGAGTGCTGCGATGTTGTGACCGCGCGTTCCCCGCGATCGGAAAATGATTTAAGTGATCCGGTCTATAAAGAGGTGGCATTTCCTTTTGTATTTGGTTCTTTTTTTCGCTAACTAAAATCCTTTGCGAACTCTTTATTTGCCCCGTTTCGTGAAATTTAGTCGTCCTAAACATACATGTAGATGCATTTTCAATATTCTATTTTCTCAGTCAATAAATAGATAAAGATGTTAAGTCTTTTCCAACTGGATAATTGAAACTTTAATGTGCAAACGTTTCAAGTACATTTGTACCATCCGGTACTCTTCATCAGTACAAATGTAGAGGAAATTTCTCAGTCGTAAAATGTACCGACAAGCACATGAACATATACTGAAAACATCAGTATTAGTTCGTTGGTTATTTGCTCAGAAATCACTCTAAACTACACCAGAGAGACTCCAAACCCCCCCAACGAGCGGGGGGCTTACCCCCTCTCGTGCTCTCCCCCCGCGCAGCGCTGACGCGCAGCGCTTACGTGGCCTTCGGCCACGTCAGGTGGTGCGCCCCCCGTTCACAAATTTCTAGATCAGGCTAATGCTACGCAAACACACCCCGCGCTACGCACCCCTGTACAATATAAACGTCGATTGAATGGCATTCATTGCGAAACAAATGTGAAGTAATAATATGATAGGTCCATTACCCATGTGTACAGGAATTTACGGATCTGCACATGTCACTCGTCGCAAGTACTGCCAAACAATGAGGGGTCACTATACATGTTTATTGTTTCGCAAGTGCGCGATTTGAGAGATTCACGTATGTTTTCAAAGTCCGCGTGTAAGAAGAGCGAGGGGAAATGCTGGTTAGAAAACAATTTTCCCTCCTGAAATCTACCTAAACATCGAATTACTATCTAGAAAAAGTTGTAGGTACCAGGCAACCGCACACAAAGACAAGACATCTAGACATCTAGATTGGTGGTAGAGGAAATCAGCGTTACATTAAAAGTTAGTAAATAGAATACTAGTAAATGTTTTTGGGGGCCGGTGTCTGCTCCAAACTTGCCTTCGCCAAAGACTGGTTGATTTTGGGGCCACGCCAAGCTAATATAAATTTCGCTTAAGAATCTAGCAGGATACATAAAGCCTGGTATGAACAAGGAGTTTATAGAAGATCTTTATTGCACGACAATTGCACATGGTACAATGTATGGCAAACTACATAAAGAGAGTAACAACAATAAAATAATTCTGTTGAACAAGACCTAATGTCGACTAAAACCTAACAAATCTATATCATAATTATTCAAACAATAAGGAATAGCACACGTTTTGATGAAGTGTTACAATCGAGTGGGCTAATCACAAGTTTCGGAATTTTTTTTCTAATAACAAAGCATTCTTTTATATATCTACCTATTTTTGCGTTATGGGGACCATTACATGTAAAGATATATTCAAATCTGTCTCTAACATCGAGACTCCTGAAATCTATTGTACTTTATTCGAAAAATGTAAATATCTTGTTAGGTATAACATCATATTTGGTACATTCCATAACAAAATGAAATTCATTTTCTATATGCTTTGGACAAAATGGACAGAACCTTTGGTCAGGGGCTATATTGTAATATCTACCAGTTTCAATATTCAATTTATCGCTACTGATTCTTAATTGAGTTATTGCTTTACGAGTTTCAAAGTTATTTATATCACAAAAGTATGTTTCTTGTTCATAACAGTTTTTTTTTAATTTGCTAAGAAAAGACAGATTAGAAATGCAGCTAAACCACTCTTGTGTATGTGTATCTTGTAGCCGATGGCGAAGATGGTGTGTAATATAATCTGCTTTATAAGCTTCAGGTTTCATCCATATATGTCCAAAGCCGTGGTAGTTGAGAGTATCTTTAACATGATTAATCCAGTCGTGGTCATCAGCAAATACAATTTACATCATTAAGCACATTGTCCTCGGGTAAGTTTATCAAACGGTGCCAGTATTTAATGAGTTGAATTTTAGCAGATATCATAATGGGGAAAGATCCTAATTCTCCTCGTACAGCGTCATTGGTTGATTTTGAATGGACTCCAAGAAGAAATTTTTGAAAACGTATGTCAATAATATCAAATTCTGGTATGGCTTAAAAGAGGCGTAAGTTATTGATTGAAAAAATATCCTTTTCTAGATTAAATCCAGACGCCTGTCTCAGAACCATGTCTTTGTCTGTTCTTCTTTCAAAGTTAATGATATAAGTATGAGTTAGATCAGTGCAAGTGCTCTTTCGAATCAAAACTGGAATGTTACCATCATCAATTTGGAGTTTCGTAAAAAAAAAAGAGAAAATATTTTAGGGGAAGACACAGGAATGTTTTTAGACTCAATAAGTTTAAGTGATTTTGACGTTTGGTCAAAGCATGTTAACTCACATCCATACAAAAGGATACTATATATAAAGTGGTATCGATCTAGTAGTACATAGATTTCAGTATTTTAAAAAAGTTTCCCCCGATGCCATATTTTAACAATTTTTTTACATATTTATCAAAAAGATTTTTACCTAGCTTGATGGAAATGTTTTCCGATGATAAAAGTGATTTTAATTTGAATATTGCTCTCATAAGTTTGGTTTTTAAGAACTTTCTGGGTGTTTAAATTTACCTGAGGACGTAAAGGAAATATCAAGGTATGTATAACTATCCGTAACTTCTATTTCTCTATTATAGATGAAGAATTCTTTTGACATTTTCTTTGTAACACCTTTAGCGAAGACAATAACTTTTGTTTTGGAGACGTTAACAGTTAATTTCCAATTACTACAGTATGTTTCCAGGGAATAAATGCATTGCTGAAGAACATGCTTTGATAAAGAAATCAAGGCAAAATCGTCAGCCCAAGATAAACAATTGACAGCTTTAGATGTTAATGTAGCGGCATCACACTTGTCATGATCAAAGCATTGCGGTAGGTCATTGATGAATAGGTTAAATAACATCAGGCTAAGGTTACAACCTTGTCTTACACCACAAGTTGATACGAAGGTATTTGATAAGCCATTGTCTAATCTAACTGCATAATTAACATTATAAAACTTTATTGCATGTTCATTCCCCGGGGGGATAAATGCACTGATGTACAAAGTACAATGTACTAGAGAGAAATTACAACAACAATAATAAAGAAAGGCTAACATTAGGTCTAAGGTATACAATGCTAAAAA